AAAAAAAAATCCTACCTACTGTAATATCCAACGACAAGCAGCAAAGACAGAACTTAAGGAAATAGCTTTCTAAGGCCTAACAGTACCCTTCTAGAATTTTCTGAATCACAAACTACCTATTTGGTCAGGAGTGTATTAAAGGCTTTTGTTCCAGGAAGTAAATTATAGCTTTCCAAAATTATCTTGATGTTTTGAGCCTCAAAGACAGGAAATCTTATATTGAAATTGAAATAAAACATAGAGCCCAGGACCCTCAGTAATAAAGTGCATGCCTGGCCTTTGATCCCCAGCCTTTCCCTCCACACCCCCAAAATAAAACAATTTGAAAATCCCTAGCTGTCCTATGATTTGAAGAAACTAGAAAGTATAAAATTATTGTCATACTGTGATGTAGTGAGATCTGAGTCCTAGGTCTTAGATCTCATGCTGCCTGACTCTATGAACTTGAGCAGGGTGTAAGCCTTGAGCCAGATGAGGGGTGTCTGAATCATGTTATTTACAGCTTATAATGTACTCAGTAACTATTTATTGAGCTCAGTCTTTATGTCAATGACACATAGTAGACAAGACAGATGAAATTCCTGTCCTCAAAAAGTTTAGATTCTAGTATGGCAAAGGATAAATTAAGGACACCTATACAGTGTGTGGGCTGGGGGTGTGGTTCAGTGGTAGAGCATTTGCTTAGCATGTGTAAGACGACCCTGGGTTCGGTCCTAGTAAAACACACAAATCTCAGTGTAGGATATGGTGCATTGGATGGGCCTTTTAATTCAGTGGATATATCAAGGGATCATTGCATATCCAAGTCTGGAGTTGAGAAGAAAGGTCTTTTGATGTAAAATGTGGGAATCACTGACACATGGATGTACTTAAAGACATGAGATACTGAGATCACCATATGAGTATTGAAGTAGAAACTAGCAAAAGACTGAGCCCAGAACACTCATGGCTAAAGATCAGAGCGATGTGTCAGATGTTGCTGACTGAGTAATAAAATGACTAAAAATTGATTATTTTTTATCGTTAGGATGTAGCAACAGTGAATTCTTTGATGATTTCTCCAAATTCCTCTTAGGGCCTTGCAAAATTTTTAATTATACTTCATAACATTTGGAAAAATAATTGCCATAGCCTAATGGCTTAAGAGAACAATAGTCTCAAAACAGGAAGATTCCATTTAAAATGTTGTCAGGAAGTTTACCTAGTTAATGTTTTTACTGTGTCCACCCCCCCACCACCACCAATGTATGAAATCTTTTTCATTTACTGATGTGTGTCCCAAATAGTGCCTGGCAGATAGTAAGTGCTCAGTAAATATTTGCTGACTTGAAGAATAAAAGAATAAACTATTTTAATAGTAGTACTGTTAGTTTTTTATTTTTTCTTTGGTTCTGGGGTTTGAACCCAGGACATTGTACATGCTAGGCAAGCACTCTACCAACTGAGTTATGTCCCCAGCCCAGCTTTCTTCATATTTTGACAGTCTTGGTGAAGCCACCCCCATCTTTGGTGGATCAAGTGGTCCTTTCAAATATGTTTATTCTGTATCCCTTCCCTTTCCTGCTAGTCTGATGTCTTTTAAGTTCCTTATTCCTGATTTAGACCCACTGGGAGACATTTGGGCCATGACATTTTGTTTGTAATGCTTAGATCCGACCAGTCTCCACCAAAGCGGGCACTCACTTTGTCTCATTTCTAGTAGGTCCCTGGTGTGTGTCCAAGAGTCCCCATTTTCTGGTTGAGGAGGTTTGGATGGAGCAGCAGACAGTGGCTTTTCTTTTCCCTTCTATCTTCTTCCTGCCAATGTATACCTGAATCTGCATAGCTTTCCTTTTAGAATATGAGTGACAGCTGACATGTTCATTCATGGTTAATCTAAGTTGGTCTTAAATGTGATTTCTGTTGTGTACAGCTCTGGCTTCATCAGGCATGGAGTTCACCTGGGTTGGTGATTCACCACCTGTCTGTAGCATTCCACCTCTGTGGAATTCAGTAGAGCAAACATAATGGGAAAGGGGTTGTTTCTCCTTCAGTCCTTTGTTTACATCAAGGAGCCAGTCTTGGTTTGATACCAGTGTACCTTTTTTTTTTTTTTTAGAGAGAGAATTTTAATATTTATTTATTTTTTTTAGTTTTTGGCAGAAACAACATCTTTGTTTGTATGTGGTGCTGAGGATCAAACCCGGGCCGCACACATGCCAGGCGAGTGCACTACTGCTTGAGCCACATCCCCAGCCCCGGATACCAGTATACCTTTGACACTCTGTGATACTACTTTAACAAAAGAATGACAAGAGGGCTGGGCATGTGGCTCAAGCTGTAGCGTGCTCACCTGGCATGCACAGGGCGCTGGGTTCGATCCTCAGCACTACATAAAAATAAAATAAAGATGTTGTGTCCACCAAAACTAAAAAATAAATATTAAAAAAATTCTCTCTCTCTTTAAAAAAAAAACAAGAATGGCAAGACCCTATTAGACAGAAGTGTCTAACTAGAACTTAGTCACATTGTTTTGTTTTCGTTGAATACATCTTTCTTATTACCTTATATTTAAAGTGAGCAATGCCTATAAAAGGGAAGAAAAAGGTGTTTCTTTAAAGTACTTAATTTTAAAAGTGAAGTAATTAAATAAAAATAATCAAGTAAGTAATTGTAGGGGTTGGCAAAACTTGAGAGATTGAAAAATAAAATGGTGTAAGGATACAGTAAAAAGAGTCTTTGGTCAACACTTTAGAAACTGAGAGCCAGAAATGACTGGATGCATCACTGTCTGCCAGGCTCCATCCCTCCCCATGGCCCTAGACTGTGAGCCTCAAGAGGGCTGAGACCACGTCTCAGAGGTCTCTCCATTGGACTGTGGGAACTAGTAGGTGCTCAATATTCACTGATTAAAATACAGGTGAAAGGATAATTATGTACCTCAGGTCCCTTGAGAACACTGAGGATTAGAGGAACAGGCAACTTTCCCAGGATCTCAGACATTTTGTGGCTGAATTATGGCTATGGACCACACCTCCTTTTTTGAGTTCCTCTGCATTCCCAGCCCTGAGCCCTTTTCTCTAGCTCCCACTGCTTTTTAGAGTACAACAGTTGTTATCAGATGTTGTGCATAGACAGCATTTAACTCCTTTTTTTTTTTTTGAAGTTGTAGATGGACATGATACCTTTATTTTATTTATTTTTATGTGGTGCTAGGGATCAAACCCAGTGCCTCACACTTGCTAGGCATATGATCTACCACTGAGCTACAACCTCAGCCCTTAACTCCCAGTCTTCACAAGTGGTGGTTGTTCTTGAGTCATTGACCCATGACCTCTATTTTAAGAGTGTCTTTTTTTGAGGGAAGGGGGTTGGGTAAACAGTGATTGAACTCGGGGTCTCAACTACTGAGCCACATCACTAGCCCCATTTTGTATTTTATTTAGACAGGGTCTCACTGAGTTGCTTAGCACCTCGCTTTTGCTGAGGCTGGCTTTGAACCTGCCATCTTCCTGCCTCAGCCTCCTGAACCACTAAGATTACAGATGTGTGCCACCATGCCTGTCCCTTAAGATTGTCTCTTTTAAGCTCCAGTGCTTCTGTATGCCCACTGAACTTTGCATGGATGCAGTTAGAGTTTAAATCCCCCATCAGACTCCTTCCTCCAATTTCCTCAGCAGAATTTTCATCATTTTATTAATTCAGTATTTTCTTTTACAATACAGACCAGAGAACTGATTATTGAAGGGGGAAATAAAAAACTTCAGAGGTTTAATGAAATCTGATATATTGCCTTTTGAAAAACAAACAGTGGCAACTGGTTAATTATTTTTTCAAAGGCATTCCTAGAAAACAGGAAGGACATCACTTTAGCATCACACAGGGATTGGCACTTTAGCACAACTGCCCAGACACGTGTTTCCGAGGCATCTTTGTGAGGAAGTGCTGCACACTTTGAGCGAGGGTAGTAACTGGAACATCTGTGTCCTCTCCACAGATCAACAGTGGGCGCCCTGCTGGCATCCGAGGTAACCTGTTTTAACAACTGTGTGTCCCATTGTGTTCTTGTCCCTTTGCTTTCCCCCCTTTCTTCTGGCCTATGGTGATTTTCAACCAGACACCTCTGCATGGCTTAGGAACCATTGGAGCAAGTCAGTTTTTCTCCTTGATAATTATGAATAGTGGTGAATGAAGGGCGGGGGGCTTTTCCCTGGGGGATGTCCTGGCACCTACAATGGGGAGGAGGGTAACAGTGTTGTTTCCACACTGCCCATTAGTAACATAGCCCTACTGTCTGCCACATACTCTCTTTCCCTTTGTTCTTTAAGCTGGGATGGAAATTCTATGATGCAGATGACTATCATCCAAAGGAAAATCGAATGAAGATGGAGAAAGGGATACCATTGAATGATCAGGTAACTTTGGCTCTCTGTATCCAACACGCTTACTCCACCTGGTATTGAGATCTCTGTCATGCTTAGTATAGTGGAGTTCCTCAGTCATGAGATAACCAGAGGATGGGTGTCCAAAGAGCCAGCTGCACGGTGGTTCCTGCACCTGTTAGCTCTGGCCCTGACCCTGACCCTCCCTGTAAGCTTAGCACTAGGAGCAGTGTCACCCTCTGCCCCAGCTTGGGAAGGGTCTGCCACAACACTTGTTGCCAGGTTTTAGTCTGAAGAATGTGGAGCCTCTCTGAGAAGGCAGAGGTCCCCTGTGTCACAAACAAGGGGAAGTTCCTCATTTTCTCCCAGGTCCTATCAGCTAACCACCATCACTAGACTCTGACAACCACCCCAAGGCCAGAGTGATCTTGAAAATTCAAGTGTGGCCATGTTACCCCTGCCTGAGATCCTTTAATGGCTTCCTACTGCTCTCAAAGTCCAGGCCAAACACCTAAATTCCTAAACATGTACAGGCTGGCCTCCATGCCCACCCGCCTCCAGCTTATTTTTAGATGCTGTGAGCTACCCTCTCAGTCCCTCCTGCTACCATGCCCCTCCCTGAAGGACCTTTGTATCCACTTCTGCCAGGAATGCGCTTCCTTTCCTCTTCCCAGAGTGAAACTGCTCTTCCTTCATATCTCAACTCCCTTACCTCTGCAAAGCCCTCCCTGACCAACCCATCTGAAGCTTCCATGACAAACTCTCAGAACACCATATACCTGTTGTCCTTGTCCCAGTTGCACCTCAGCAAATGTTTGTGTGAGAATGTGATTAATCATCTCTACAACTAGACTTTACCCCCAAAAGGGCAGGGACTGTAGATTTATCTGTTAACCATTGTAACCCTAGGCCCTGACACAGAGTAAATGTCAGAAAATATTTATGGCACGTTTTGGAGTGCATGAATGCGTAAATGAATGGCCCTGTCCTTTATGCACAGTCACGAGGCTACATCCCAAAGAGTCTTTCTCAAACTGGATTACAAACTCTGGGATTCACCAGCTGAAGGAACAGTAATTCAAGAGAGAGCGAGAGGGCCAGGTCAAGAGCTGGGCCCATCCACACAGCAGCAAGGCACGTCTTACTGGGTTAAATATGTCCAAAGGGCAGGAACAAATGGAACTGGCCAAAGACCAACGCTTGTTTTACTTTTCATTGGCCTCAGCTCACCCTCCAATTAAATCATCTCCCTTTGCTCTGCCTTGAAAGGTGACAGTCACAACCATTATTCAAACTGTTCTAGAGAACTCTTTGGCACTTACTTCTCCCTGTTTTGGGAAGTGTCACTTGAGTTTGCAATGGTTCAAGCCTTGAGCCAGCAAAATGATGTTTGCAACATCTGATTTTAGAAGATATGGCCCATGGGGCAAGGGAACTATGAAAGAGACAGAGGGTAATAATTTAAATAATATTGATATCATACTAGAAATAATAAACAATATAGACAAACTGAACCCAACATCACACTCATGTGACTTTCAGAAAATGGATTAGCATCTTGGTGCCTTATTTTCTTCCTGTTGATTTAGAATGGTAACAGGACCTATATCAGTGGGTTCTGGGAATAATTAAATGAAATAATAAGAAAAATGTGTGCAGAATAGTGCCCAAAGCATTCAATAAATATCACTTTTTTTATTACTATTTCTAGTGTTAGACACACCATAAACCACAGATCCACACACATAAAGTAAATCATTATTTCAGAGTATAATTGTGCTGGTATTATTTTGTGTTTCTCTTTGGTGAGTGACATAAAAGGTAACAAAGCAAAGCAACCCAATGGATGGGTTTTTTAAAAATATTTATTTTTTAATTATAAGTGGACACAATACCTTTTATTTTATTTTTATGTGGTGCTGGGAATCGAACCCAAGGCCAATGCATGCTAGGTGAGCACTCTGCCTCTGAGCTACAATGGATGGGTTTTTTTGTTGTTGTTGTTGTTGTTGTGTTTTTGTTTTTGTAACAGGGATTAAACCCAGGGGCACTCGACCACTGAGCCACATCCTCAGCCTTGTTTATTTATTTAGATACAGGGTCTCGCTAAATTGCTTAGAGCCTTGCTAAGTTTCTGAGGCTGGCTTTGTACTTGTGATCCTCCTGCCTCAGCCTCCTGAGCCTCTGAGATTACAGGCGTGCACCACCACTCCTGGCCTAAACAGATGGGTTTTAAAAATCATTGAACAGGCATCACTGTTGTTTACCAGTGATGCTTGTTCAGTAGGCTCTCTGAATGGGGTAGGTAGAATCCAGAAAAGAAATTTGTATGCAGGAGAAAAGCTGTCCCTGCCCTTTTCTTCCAGTGGCCACTGGAAGAAACACAGGTTACAGTGGTGCTCCCTTACACATGGGGAGTACATTCCAAGACCTCAGTAGATGCCTGAAACCATGGGTAGTAGTACCACACTCTGTGTGATGATGTTTTCCTGTGCATGTCTAAGATAAAGTTTAGTTTATAAATTGGGCAAGATAGGAGATTAACAGTAACTAATAACAAAATAAAACAGTTATAACAATATGCTATAATAAAAGTTATTTAAAACTTGTGAATTTTTATTTATGAGTTACATTTAAAATTTTTAGACCATGGTAAACTGGGTAACTGAAAACTTATAAAGTGAAGCCATGGATAAGGAGGAGCTCTGCACTTTCTGAATGTATCCAAGAGCAACTGCAAGTCAGCCATCCTTAGAAGCACACCAACCTCAGATACAAGGAGGAAGAACAGCAGGTGTTTTTCATACTTGACAAGAGCTGAGGGAGTCTAGGAGTAAAAGTGTGGGTCACAGCTGTGCTGGCCCTGTATCCTCTGGTTGCCTTGGTAACTAGTCCTGTGATGCTGTGCTGAGGAGCTGTACCATGTGGATCAAACTACAGTGTCAGAGGCTGAAGTACAGGTTTGACTTGATGAATTCTAGGGGAATTTGGGGATGTTTTATGCTCAGAGAGCTCAGGGCTAAGATCTAAGTTGAACTATCAAGGGATCCTTGAGGCCATTTAATTGTTAATTAAAATGAAATAAAATGTAAAATCCAGTTCTGGGTTGAACTGGTGGCATTTTATGGCCTCAAGAGCCACATGTGGCTACCCTATTGAACAATAGAGATGTAGAACATTTTCATCATTGCACAGAGCTCCGTGGACAGTGACAGCCTGGAAGGATATTCCCCCCAGGCTGTGAAAACTTATTAGAATGATGATGATGGTACCAATAAAGAATTTCAAAGCTCTCAGTCAGCGCATCTCCTCTGTGCATCACCGTGCTGTCGCACAGTGATACCCAAGTAGATTTTAAGGTCTGTTTGAAAAAGAGAGCTTTTACAATGGCTCAGGAGGCTGAGGCAGGAGGATCACATGTTCAAAGCCAGATGCAGCAACTTAGTGAGGCCCTAAGGAACTCAACAGGACCCTGCCTCAAAATGAAATATAAAAAAGGGCTGGGGATGTGTCTCAGTGGTTAAGGTTCAATCCCTGGTACCAAAAAAAAAAAAAAAAAGGAAAAGAGAGCTTTTAAAAATAATAATTCTCCTTACTGTAAATGTAATATTTGTCTCAGTATTAAAAGAAATCTGCAAAGTACCAATTTTTTTTCACAGATATATCACCCTTGGTTTCCTCAAAAATATTTACTAATTGAATTTTGTAGTTTTCCCTTTGTGTGTGTGTGGAGGGGGGAGGGTGTGTTCTTTATACATGCATCCTTTCCTTTGTGTACTTAATTTCTGTACCAGGTAAAAACCAACCCTTCTCCCCTCCTCCCCTCATACGCTTTCCACCCTTCCTTCCCCTTTCCCCCAACAGAGCTGATACCCTCTACCATCTCTTCCTCTTCTCCAAAGACCCATCACTTCCAGAAGGCACTTTCTCTATTTGTGTCCATCAGAGCACTGAAATTATAGACCAAGGAAACCTGTGGCCTCCTGATGTTCTGGAAGAAGGTTTACTGTGCTCCCTCTGAGCCCTGGGCTGGGGGTAGTGGTGCCCCGTGCCTTTCCCTTTATTGCATGTGGGGACTGTGGAGAGTGACATGATCTTGAACATCAGAACCAGCAGACAGGAATGCAAACCTGAGTTGTTTCCTCCTCTCTTTCCTCTAAGACATTTTTTGTGGGTTTGACCACTTGTTATTTATTATGCTGTCCAAGGTATCTCTTCAGAGGGTACATTGCTCTGGGTATTCTCCTTCTGGTCCCAGTTTCTTCATCTGTAACAAGATATAGATCTTTCCCTTTATTCACAGACATCAGGAACATAAATGTGGAGCTCACACATCCAAGTCCTTCCTCCTGCCCCTATAATAAGGTCTGAATTCCTTAGCAGGTCATTTAGATCTTGGCTAGTGAATCAGCATCTCCTTCACCCCCAACTCAGCTCTCCAGACCCTGCTCCCAGAGCTAAGTAGCTGCCTTTTCTTTTCCCCAACTCTCAGGACACATCTTTATGCTCCTAGTTTCAGCTCACCCCTCCCCTCTGCTTGGCAAGTCCTTCTCTAGTTGAAATCATCCTTATCCTTCAAGATTTGCTCTTCTGGAGGCCTTATCAAAATCCACCACTCTCCATACTCAATGCTCAATTTGGTGCTTTGCTCATTAAACAGTCAGCGTTTGTGAAATTAAATCCCAGTGTCTATAAATTCACAATTTAAAACTCTTGAAGATTCAAAGTTAATTTCAACCCTTAAATCATGTTTAAAGTGAAATTGTATTCATTTTCTTATTTAAATCCCAAAGCAGCTCACTAAATTATATGATACCCATTTTTCAGGTGAAAGAAAGAGAGGCACCAAGAAGTTTAATAACTGGAGAAAAGCCACCCAGCGAAGGGAGTCTCTCTAACCTTAAAGGTCATACTTTTCCTGTTAGGTTAATGACCTTTGATAATTCACAAAATATGTGATTCCCAAGAAGTAAATCCAGGTTGGTTAAGGAAAGAAAAAGGTTAAGAGTGGAGGGGGATGGGGAGCAGGAAAGAGATTGAATCCTCATCCTCATGCATGAGGCTTCAAGGCCCTGTCTCCCTACTTTGTTACAGCTTTCTGCTTTAGAAAATATATACATTTAAAAAAAAACCAGCTTATAAAAATAATGTTATCTTTTTCATCTCCACTAGTCCATAAATGTGGTAGGAAAACGTTGCTAATCACAAGAGAATGCAAGAAAGACAGGAATTTAGAACTGTGGGGTCTAATGGTGCCTTAGAAGTTAACTTAAGGGCTGGGATGTACCTCAGAAGTGTGGCACTTGCTTAGCAACACAGCCCTGGTCTAGATCCCTAGCACCAAAAACAAAACAAAGTAACTCAAATTCAGAGTGATCATGTCTAGAGTATGGACCCAGAACAGTGTCTAGCGCCCATTAAACACATAATCCCCACTTGTAAATAAATGAAGGAAAGTGGAAATTCAAATTGGTGCTTCAACTGGCAGCCTCTGCCCAGGAGCAATTTTTCATCACAAAATACTGCACATTTCAGACAGTCCAGCTCATTCTCCCTGTTTCCTAAAATCCTTGATACCTTCCCTTCTGCTTCCCACCAAGCCCAAGAAAATTCTATTTTGCAACTATAGTTTTAAATTGCATTTATGGGCTACATTTATGTAGCCCTTCCAACTTTTTTTCCTAGCAGATTCTCTAGAATATCTAGCTTCTGGGAATGATGTCTGTAGAATCTTGATAATAATAAACATTAAATATATATGCTCTTCTCCAAGAGTCTCCAAGAATCTCTCCATATCTCTAATTTCATTAACAGAGTTCTTGTGGTCTGCAGATTGAGAGCTGGTAGTCCTCATCATCTTGTTATTGCATCTACAAATGACCACACTTGTTCACTAAAGGCACTTAGACAAGTGTTGGCATAAACTGATGTTTCATTTGTTGAATCCATTTAAGCTACATTGTATACATAGCAATAGCTATTGTAATTTAAATAATGGTTTTTATGAATTTTGTAGCTGTTGTCCCTTAGGATATAATTGGTGTAAATGACAGAGCTGTTTTTGTTTGATTTCTACCTTGTATGAATTTTGTAGCTATTGCATTTGAACTCCTAAGATCACTGGGTGAAGTGTGTTCATGAAAGTAAAGTCTTAGAGGTCTATGATTAGCAAATCTTCCAGGATCCTCAACCCAACTTTAGCACACAATGCTTTGAAAAATTAATTTGTTTGATGAAGAAAAAACATTTATAATACACAGTTTTCTAAGGAGGGTTTATGGTTTGCTGAGCACAGAGTGATGGCCTTGGTAGAATAAACTTTCAGTCACTGAACACTGAATTACTCCGAATAAGAAGTAGGAAAAGCCTGAGCTCTGGGCAGAATCTGGGAGCCAAAGGTACTCGCTCAGAGCTGGGGAGCTGAAAAGGCTCCTCGTGGAAAAGATCAAGAGAAAATTAAAATGACCTAAGGCTTGACCAAAGTCTAAAGCAAAATGAGAAAATCTCAGGTGTTAGAATCAAAGTAGCAAGATTGAACTAAGCTGGAATAACTCCTTCCCCAGGTTTTGAAGCTGCCCAAGGCCAGGAAGGCAGGGCTGTTATCTGGTGTCCCTGAAGAGATGGGAGAGGAGGCTGTAAGCCAATATAAAACACACAGCCCAGGTATCTTACTTTATGTTATCTTTACATACTTTGTTATCTTTACATAAAGTAAGATACCCTTAGTTTGATTTGATGGCTGCCTTTGTAATGATTACAAATATTTTCCACCAGTAACAAAATATGGAAAAGAAAACATATTTGTACCCTCTGGACTCAAAAGCAGCAAAGAATCTGGTGTCTCCCCTGGGCCAAGGTGGGAAAAGGCATCCTTGAGAAACCAGAGCCCCATCTAACTCCCAAATGCACACTATAGTGGCATAGAAATACCCAGTTGAAAAAATGATTTTAAAAACTTTTTCATCTTTATTTTTCATTGCACTATGGCCAATAATCAGGATGTACTCTGGGAAGGAGGAGAGAACCATGTTTAAAAGGATTTCTTTGTGAGACACTACGGTTTGCTGTGTAAACTTCCTCCATTTTCTCTTTAGCAAAAATACAAATTTCTCACAATTTATATATCTGAAGAGAGTTTTGTTTTGGAAAGTTCAAAGATTGGCATAGGGTATGTGTGAATACCCCTTTGCATTTGAGATATGTAAGGAAAGTAGCAAGAGATGTGTCAGCATACCAGAACAAGGAAAAACATACACCATGGGGATTTTCAGGGATAGATAATTAATGGTGCTTTAAGGCAATTTTTCTTGTTATAAAAAGAGTCACTGACACCCAAACCAAGAAAATATTTCTGTGGTTAACGGCCCACTGACTTGGCCCCTCTCCCTGGTATATGACCTACTTCTCGAAACAACTGGATCTTAACATCTGTGAACATGACATAGTTGTTTCTGTACAAACTATACCTGGAAGTCAGTTTGTGTCTGTTTTAATTTCAGGACAGGATTCCATGGCTTTGCAATTTGCATGACATTTTACTAAGGTAAGAGACCATAGGGCTTTGGCGTCAGCCAGAAAGTAAAAACTCGAATGAGAAAAGACAGTGGTCACAAGTCACAACCAGGTAATGATAAAGGATCCCAGAAATAGAGTCCACTCCTTTCAAGTAACAAACATGGATATCAACGAGCCATGGACAGCTCATGTGTTAGTTGAGCTCTGGGGACAAATCTCCCACCAGTTCCACAATTTCTAGCTGGCAGTCTTGATAGCCATTCAGTTTCCACGCCTGTTTCTTAATCTGTAGAATGGGGATAAATATAGTTCCTACTCACAGATTATTGTGAGAAATAAAATGATGCATGGATTATGTTCTAAAATGACTAATACACAGTAAGTCCTCACAAAATTTTAACTGATGCCACCCTTCTTCTATGTGAATGTGTAATTACATACACTTCCAAGAGTAGGCTAAATCACACATTAAGTTATGTAATAATTCAAGGACTTGGAAGACAGAAGAAGATGCTATAGCCTATCTTAGCCATTACTTTTTCTCCCCTTTAAGTTGTGACAATCAGGAAAGACTGGGGTCATTTGTAAGTCAACACGTAATTGTCCACCAGGATTGGAGAGACCTGCATTGTCTAGCTCTCTAACATGCCTCTAACAAGATCCTTCCACCTGAGGCCTGACCCCACTGGAAATTCTGGTTGGGACAGGTAAAGGATAAAAGGCAGGAAATGGGTTATGACTTTCTAAGATGAAGTCATATTTTATCAAATTAATACCATCTGGACCAAACGAAGTTAGAGTATACTTATGATTAGAAATTCAACTTGCTGTTTTCATATCCTATTGACATGGTTGGGCTTAGGGTTTTACTGTAGAGAACTCCTGCCCATGTATTGATGTCAGAGTTTCTTTACTGTAATACTGACCAGTAATCAAAGCAGAAGTGACAATCCTCAGGAGGGCCTAGACCAGACCTCTAAATTGAGAATAAACAAGCTCACACCATGGCTGTGGGGTAGAGCTATGGCTGAGCCTGTAGGTTGGGTTCTCAGCACATTCCAACCAGTGGGTCCCAGTTCAACTTGGCCATAATATCAAAGGAAGGCCCCTTAACTTTCTATTAGATACTTACACCAGCATTTACCCTCACCTCTTAACTCTAATCACAGCCTAGCCCCAAGATGAATGCCAGCCATACCCTGTAGCCCAGTGGAACATGGTTCACTCTCTTGTGTGGTCTCTGGCCACACAGGTCTCCCCTTACTGGTGCTGAGTTACACTGCCTCTATTTCTGGCTCCAGTTTTCTCCTTGGTACATCCCTGGAAACTTCTCCCATCCTGTTCACCTTGCCCACACAGGAACTGATGCTCTCCTCTGCCCTTTTCTCTAGCTCTGCACTGGCAACTACTCCCACCCTTCACACCATGCTGCAGAATGTGGATGGGGAGAAGCCAGTTGTAGAGTGCAAATCACTAAATGTCCTGCAGAGGACCTGATCCAACCATTTGCACTGCACAGGTGCATGCCAGCAGCCCGTGTCCATACACAGAGGCTGAGCATGTCCTGCATCCATAGGAGCAGTCAGCAACACTGAGCTCTTCTGTATACCAGGCATATCAAGCAATTATTTTCCCTTAGGACAGCTCTATAGCAGTTAATGTGGGTAGTCCCAATTAACAGATGATGAACTGACCCCCTAGGAAGTAAATACTTTTGTCTGAGATTCTTCTGTTGACTAGTGGAAGATCTTTAACCCAAAGCTAGGTATGCCTGATGCTTAACCTGCATTTTCTGACACTTTTCACTGACAGAAGTAAAACTGGAGCCCTCCACCTAGAATTAAGACTGATTATTTTAGCTGGGCATGGTGGTACACACCTGTAATCCCAGAAGCTCAGGAAGAAGGAGGATCACAAGTTCAAAGTCAGCCTCAGCAACTTAAGAAGATCCTGTCTCTAACATATTAAAAAGGGCTGGTGGGGGCCGGGGTTGTAGCTCAGAAGTAGAGCGATTGCCTACCAGGCACTGGGTTTGATCCTCAGCACCACATAAAAATTTTTAAAAAATTAAAAAACAATCTAAAAAAAGAAAATGGCTGGGGATATAGCTCAGTGGTTAAGCAACCCTGGGTTTAAAAAAAAAAAAGACTGATTATTTTAAATGTCTTCATTATTTAGCCCTCTGCCTCCCTCCCTTCTTTCCTTCCTTTCTTAAACAGAGATGTAACCTCAGGACAGCATGTGGTGTTAGCCTGTTCAGCCTTAAAGAAAACATACAGAGACATCTTAATTCGAGGAAAAAATGGTGCACCTCTGAAGTCTGGGGAGTCGAGAAAGGAAGAAAAGCCAGCTGAGGTGCAGCTCTTGGTGGTCCATCTGAGCGGATCATTTGAGGTCATCTCTGGACGCTTACACCAAAGAAAAGATCATTTTATGCCGCCTGCATTATTACAGTCCCAGTTTGATACTCTGGAGCCCCCATCACCTCCAGAAAACTTCATCCAAATCAGTGTGGACAAAAGTCTTTCAGAGATCATTGCTGTAATTATGGAAACTCTGAAAATGAAATGACACACATCAGTGGTCCAGAACAGAATCAGTCATAGATGTGTCCCATTCCAGACCTTGTTCCAGTCTCCTCATCCATGCTGTATTCTAAATGCTTCTTAAGGTTGGACCAACCTTGGTGTGTCAAGATGTACGTGTTTGTAGGAATTTGTGATGTGCTTGGCGTCATGGGCTGTCACCTAGGGAGAAAAGGAAGGGAACTTTAAAAATCAAGCTTAAATTGAAGTTTAAATTCATCAGTGATGCCATCAAATGACAAGAGGAAATTCTATAATTGATGATAGAAATCATTACTTTGCTTAGAACATTTTCCACTAATGCCTATATTTTATAATAAAGGAAACTTGGCTATCCTTGAAATCCCCTGGAAATTTGTCTCTGGAACAGAAATGTGTGCAAAATCGGCCATCTAGTAGCAAGTAATCTCACTCCACACACTGCCTAATCTGTTCACTGTCCTTGAGCTGCAGTTCTAGCAGCAGCTCCTACCTTGGGGTCTCAAAAGGCAATATGGGTAGAACCAGCAAGCCTTGCCCAGCTCTTCAAACAACCTATGCAAATATATCAGCAATACCAAGTTTCTTGCCTTTTAAATAAAATTGTCATTTAATATGATATTGTCTATACTGACCAGCAGCTCTCTGCTGAGCAAGTTGTGTGTTATATATGTGTATAATTTAAACATAGAACACTAAATGCTACTTCAAAGGTAGAGTGGTCAACAAAATCTTTCATGATCATAAAAAGGATCATTTTGGTAGAATGAAGATTGAAAATAATTACATCAGAGGAAAAAAATGTTTTTCCAAGTAGGGGAGCTGTCAAAATAGTTCAACTTGTAAAGTTCCTAATGTGTGCACTTGCAGAGTATGAGAGCTGGGTACACACTTCAGTAATCAGCCCAAAGTGTGCAGCAGTATAGGAATATATAAGGTGTGCAATTCCAGGTTTTAGTGTTTGGGAGCACAGCATTAAATGATTCCATGCATGTGATTCTCCCTTACATTTCTATTACTCCATCTCTCTGAGACATTGGGGATGCCTGTTTTGTGCAATTGTCTTTTGTGCAAATATCCCTCCCAGCCCAGGCTGATCCTGTGATCCAAAATGAAGCCCTGCTTGCCAGATCTTATCCTCGGATTCCCAGCCCTGGGTGCTCATGAGTCAGCTGTGGAACACTCAGATCAGGGTCCTGGGCTCCCTCGTATATTCACCTTCCAACAAAGACCCACAGGCTTCAGACTTCTGTGAGCTCATGGTCTCCCCACAATTTAATCACTTTACGTTGTTCTTGTATTTATTGTTATTTTGCTTGTATTTAAGGAAATTGACTTTTTCATTCAAAGTAATGACTTTAGTTTCTTTTAAAATGAAAAACATCCATATCTGCATCCCTTCATGTGTGCAAGGGTTTTGTTTCAAGACCAGCTGGCCATACTCAAATCTTATATGACCTAGTATTTGCTTAGAACCTCTAGACATCTTGTAATATTTCAAGCTATCTCTAGATTACTTAATACCTAATACAGAGTAAATGCTAAGTAAATAATTGTCATACTGTATTGTTCAGGGAATAATGAGGAAAGCCTGTGCACATGCAGTACAGAGGCAATTTTTTTCCTCAATGTTTCTATCCAAGGTTGGTTAAATCTGTGATGAATGTGGAACCTGTGCATGTGGAGTGCTGACTGCATATTTAAAGAAAGTAGGACATTTCAAGATAAAAAGCCAGGCGTGGTGGAGCATGCCTGCAAATCCCAGAAGCTTGGGGGGTTGAGGAAGGAGGATGGTGAGTTCAAAGCCAGCCTCAGCAACTGAGGGAGACACTTAGCAACTCAGCGAGATCCTAAGTAAAATATTTATAAAGGGGTAAGGCTGTGGCACAGTGGTTAAGTGCCCCTGGGTTCAATCTCTGGTACTTAAAAAAAAATGAATTCAAGATAAATAAAAAGTACACATGGTTCATGGATATACCAGAACTCCAAAGGTGAATTTGAGTGAATGAAACATGGGACTTTTTGATCCAGGCCTTCCTTAGTTTTAGAGGAGGCATTGGGGGTCCAGAGAAAGCTTTAAGACCAGTGGTATCTGCCTGTCCACCCCCCTGTGTAAAACCCATCAGTGGCGGACACTAGGTAGGCAGAGAAGTAGCACAAGAGCTGTTGTAGCTGTCATGAAACAACCTTGCCATGGGCAGCAAGGTCCTGCTGGCATGTAGCAGCTGGGCTGAGTAGCTTACTAGGTGGGAGGTCAGAGGTGCAGGTGTGCCCCTGGCACACAGCTTACAAAGGACCCATATATGGAGGCTGCAATCTGAGCAGCCTGGGCCTGATTACAGCCCTTCTTCCTCCTACGCTCCCAAGATGCATTATTCTTCTGTCCGATTCACTATCACAGAACCCAGCCACTGCCGCAGGCCCCTGGTTAGCTCTGGCTAGAGTAAGTTTTAGAATGAATTACTTCTTTCACAAGGGCATGCAGTCTCATACACACAAGCCTCAGTCTCAACAGCTTACTGGGGAACTTTTAAAAGGGTACTTTTGAGTAGATGGTTGTTTTTTTTTTATTATTTGATTTGTTTTTTAGTGGATGGCTCTTGCCTTAAAAAAATGTGAAGTCTTGGATTTTTCTCCCTGCCAAGCTATTTGGAGCACCTCTTATCTGGCTTCAATTTATATTGACCCTCCTATTCAGAATCCAAACACTTAAAGTTATCCAATTAACATATTCCAGATAGATGAAACTCTGCTCCTGCACAAGATGGCATCAATGAACCCATTGTACTTAGTCCCCTGTGTGCTGTGATGGGCATTCTGGAGGGTTTGAGGAACACAAAGCCTTACCTCTCAGGTGGCTTAAGTTTGGGTGGAGAGATAAGGCATCTAATACTCTCAGGCTATAGTCCTCATTAGAAAGGATGAATGTGGCAGGGCCCTTGAGAATAGGGATTTAGACCTGCAGAAAAACATGTTCTGGGTAGACTGTGCCCTACCCCCAGTTCCCTTCCCATAACAGAAGCCAAAGCACATTCCTTGACAAAAGATTTGGACCAGACCTCCACAGCTGCTCCACAGTTGGACTACCAGTCTGGGCCCTGGGCCCTCTGTCATGGTGACAAGAAAAGGACAAATATAGGAAGATAGTGGTTCTCAACCTCAGCTGCATGTTAGAACCAATCACTTGAAGAAGTAAAACATATGCATGCTTTCCCACCTGTTACAAGCCTACTGCACCAGCATCTCTCAGGAGGGAGCCTGGGTCCCTGGTCTGAGATCGGTAGCTGGCTCTGATAAGCAGCCAAGGCTGGGAACTTAGGGTAAGTTCAGGTCATCAGGACTCTGTTTTTGATAGTTTGTGCTGAGCACCACCAGAGAGCAGCTCAGGAAGACTTATGACAAAAGTAAAGTTCAGCCCTGGCTTGGTTCTGACCAATAATTCCTACAATTTGCTACCGACAATATGCAACTTCTGAAGTGAAGTTTTGGGGTGACAGGGTGGGAGGGAGGTGCTGCACAGAGTGGCTGTTGTTTGGGATCACAGATAGAAGAGACCAAACAAAGGGGTGGGGGGAATTTCCTTTCTGGCCAAGGATACTGATTTACATGGCCTTGGGTATAGCAGACCACAGGGGAAGCTGGACTTGCTAAGACAGTCTTCCCAAAGGAAAAGGACAGCCTCTCCCCTCTTAAATGTTTCTCTTGGTTTTGTGGTTGGTTTTGAAGTTGAGGAGACCTATGAGTGAAGTGAATACACAAAGACAAGGAAGATGGATCAAGCCATTTCTAAGATTCAAGTCAATCAGATGATGAATGAATATTCTTACAATTACTCAATCATCATCAGAAGTGAAGTACTGATAGGCACAACCACACAGATGAACCTTGAACATATTGCACTAAGTGAAAGAAACCAAAAAAATGCTACATATTATTTGCCATTTATTTTAATTATTTTTTAAATATTTTTTTTAGTTAAATATTTTTTTTAGTTGTAGTTGACACAATACCTTTATTTTATTCATTTATTTTTATGTGGTGCTGAGGATCAAACCAAGGGCCCCGCACGTGCTAGGCAAGTGCTCTACCGCTGAGCCACAATCCCAGCCCATTTAATCATTTTTTAAAACATAAAAACCCTTTACTTTTTCTGGATTTTCAAGAAATGGTATGTTATGACCATACATAATAGTGGAATTCCTTGTTATATATTCATACATGTATGTAAGAATTTTACATGAAGCTATTTAGCCAAAAGATCCAGAGCAGATGAATCTATAGAAATAGGAAGCATATTAGTGGGTTGCTATGGGATGAATAAGATGGGAATTGGGACTAACTGCTAATAGGTTCAAGGTTTCTTGTTGGGGTGATAAAATGTTCTGGAAGTGGATAGCAGTAGTGTTTGCACAATGTAGTAGAATATACTAAAAACTACTAAAGTATATTTTACAGTGCTGAATTTGATGGTATGAAAATTACCTCAATTTTAAAAAAATCAGTCCAGCAAATACACTACAGTGTGTGAAGAGAGGCACAACTTCAGATCAAATGCCAGCTCCCTCCCACTTGGAGAGAATCAGAGAGAGGGAAGCAACAGGCCTGAATACAGTTTCCAACCACATCACATTGAGGATAAATATTTTTTAATACAATCCCTAAGAGCAAGCCAGCTACTTCATCTTCACCCGAGATGAAGCACTAATCTATTCCCATGCTGGAGGGCAGAAGTTCATGTGGGACTTACTGAGAAGTAGACTGTGTTCTTCAGCCGTTCTGGATTTGAGGATACCTTTGACTGTAATTTGTGCTTTGTGAGCTGCCTTTCTATGTTCTAGATAGCCTCTTAGAGGCTGTAATGGTGAACTGGAGGCAGAACCTCAAGAAGTGGCTGGCAGAAATGAAGCTTCTTGTCTTGGTTTATTCAGCAGCCCCCACTCTCAGGAAGGGTACTGGGGAAAAAGAAATGAAGGTGGGACCTATCCTCAAGAAGCAGGGGTCTGAACAAGCAAACACATGGCTCTAAGACAGTGTGACACAAGTAGGCACAGATAACAGGCTCGTATTCCAGTCTGGGGACATCTGGAAAACTTTGGCGTCTCCAAGTGCAGTTCAGTTGTTCCAGCCCTCTAGAACCCATAAAGCCATTGGTTTTGTGTCAAAATGCTGGTCACAATGATGGTAATGAATGGGAAACAACAGGTACTGCCATTCAGCAGACAAGGAACAAGACTTCATGCAGTACATGCCAGTTCTCAACAAAAAAGAACTGATTTCCAAGTATTCTGTTGGACGTCGTGTATCACTAAATGAAAGCCTCCCCTCCCCCCATACTAGGGATTGGGTGCTCAATCACTGAGCCCCATTCCCAGTCCTTTTTATGTTTTATTCTGAAACAGGGTCTAAGTTGCCCAGGCTGCCCTCAAACAACCCACCTTCCTAAGCCTCCTGAGTCACTGAAATTACAGGAGTGTGTGACCATGTCCAGCAAACCTGCTTATTGTAACAATGCAGCTCTATGTTATACATGAAAATACTTTTGAAGTTTTAATATACTCTGAAATTTCCAAGAATGCAATAACTTTGCATATAAAGGGAAGATAGTATTCTACTG